GTGTGTGTGTGTGTGTGTGTGTGTGTGTGTGTGTGTGTGTGTGTGTGTGTGTGTGTGTGTGTGTGTGTGTGTGTGTGTGTGTGCAGGCGGTGCAGACGTTGTGTGTCTGTCTCTGATCAGTCTCGGGGTTCAGACCTGTGGTGAAGACCACATGACCTCCTGGCGAACACAGGACTGTCGAGCCTCTGACGTTAAGACATCACCTGATCCTTTCGGCTGGTACCTCAAACCAGGTACAGACAAGCACAACACACACAGTACAAGTACACACACAGGCAGTATAACTACACAGTGACATGTGACCTGTGTTTTCAGTGAATCAGTGGACGTCATCTCCGGCTCTGTGTCCCACATTCAGCCTGAGTCCACGCAACGGTAACAAAGCTGCAGTACTACTATTGATGCGACTACTTCTAATACTGCACTATAATAGATCCTACTGCTAATACTACTACTACTTATAATACTATTAGTACTGCAGTTACTACTACTACTACTACTGATACTACTACCACAGTTTCTTGTGTATGTAAGAGTACTGTTATGACCGCAGTAATACTACTGCTGTTACTATTGATAGTACAAACACTACAATTACAGCTACTTAGTAACAGTACTATTACTACTACAGTAAAAAACACGTGTGCGTGATGTTTATGTGATAGTGTCTGAGGACAATTGGCGTCTCCTCTCTGACTCATCCGTCCTGGTCGACCCATCTCTCTCCACGTATGATGTCATCCACATTAGCCGTGACATCGCCACTGACCGGAACAACACCCGGGACTGGTGTCTCCATGGTAACCACGATAAAACACATCACAACAAGAGTCTGTGTTTCACTACGATTCGAATGGTGACACTTCTTTGTTCATGTCCCTTCAGCCTGCCAGGAGGCGGAGTCTTGTGTTGCCGTGTCAATCAGGGAGATGGAGTCCGCCTCTCGCTGCATCCTTTACCCCGACACCACAGCTTGTGGGCTAAGCTCCGCCCCCAGCTCCCACAGACACGCAACTTCCTGTCGGCTGGTTATCAGAGAGCCCGCCCCCCGGGTGTACCTGAGGATAGGTGAGCCAATCACAGCAGAGAGCAGCACTGTCAGTGGTTTGATTCCCGCTCTGCTCACCTGTCTGTTTGTTCCATCAGAGCGGTCATCAACGGCGACGACCGTCTCCGTCCCCGGTCATGGGGTCCTGCAGGGCGTCGCTGTGGAAACATCCCTGGGCTCAGACCAGAGGACGGTTGTTCAGTTTCTGGGAGTCCCCTACGCTCGTCCACCAATAGGATCACTCCGCTTTGAAGAAGCTCAACTGCCTGATTGGACAGGAACCTGGGACGCCACGAAACCACGGTAATGCCCTGCATGTCCACCTGTCCCTCTGATGTCATCCACCTGTCTCACTAACCGACTCGTGTTGTGTGCGTCTCAGTCTCAGTTGTGTTCAGCCCGGTGATGCAGCGTCAGCCTCCAGTGAGGACTGTCTCTACCTCAACATCTTCTCACCGGCTGCTCAGGTGAGTCACCTCTGATGTCACTCTGATGTCACTGTGATGTCACTGTGTCGTCACTCACCTATCCACGTCTGTGTGTCAGAGGGGGCGTGTCCCAGTCCTGGTGTTTTTCTTCAACCCTTCAGCGAAACAGAACCCAGGGCTGCTAGATGGCTCCACCCTCGCTGCTGTGGGTAACATCGTCGTGGTAACAGCTAATTACCGGACCGATGCTCTGGGTTTCCTGAGCACAGGTAAACACAACACACACACACACACACACACACACACACACACACACGTAAACAAACCTTCCTGAACAACTCCACCTCGCTGCCATTTTCCAAGGTGAGTCTGGTCTCCGTGGTAACTACGGGCTGTCAGACCAGGGGGCGGTGCTTCGCTGGGTTAATGCCCACATCTCCCTGGTGGGCGGAGACAACAGTAGAGTGACGGTGGCGTCAGAGCGTCGCGGTGCTGACATCACCAGCCTTCACCTCCTCTCCTCCTCCTCCTCATCTCAACCTCTGTTCCAGCGCATGATCCTGATGGTGAGAAAGAAATTCAGAAACAAACTGTCTCCAGATGTTCCACCAGCTGATTGGCGTTGTGATGACATCACTTCCTCTTCCTGCAGGGCGGTTCTGTCTTTTCTCCCTCACTGCTTCAGACTCCCGCCTCCTCCGGACTCCAGGCGCTCGATTTGGCCAAAGAGCTTGGCTGTGGGACCTCTGACCTTGCCACCTGCCTCAGAGCGACGCCCACTCACACACTCAACGCCGCTCAGACAAAGGTATGTTTCAGAAACCAGGACAGTGCGTCTGGTTTCTACACGTGTCTCCTGACCTCTGCTCCCGTCACAGCTGCTGGCGCTTAGCGGCCCGTTCCGGTCCTGGTCCCCGGTCGGTCAGTCGAACCCTCAGTCGTCCTTCCACAGGGTCGACCTCCTGCTGGGCACATCGGAGCACGATGGACTGATCGGCCGCGCTCGAAGGATAAAGGTCAGAATTCATACAAAGAAATAAAAACGAAGAAAGACAGATTTCATTTTAAAATAAAAAAAGCGTTTTGATTAATTTAATTGAATTCTTTAAATCAACCTGCAGCTTCAGTTCAGTTCAACCTTCCTGTTATTCTGTGTCAATCAAAATAACAAAACAATGATCTTGAAAAATAAAGAAATGAAACAGCTGATGTCTCTTGTCCATCAACCAATCAGAGCTCAGTTTAAATCAGCGTTAGTTTGTTTTCATGAGATATTAATTTTAGTTTTTAGTTTCAGTTCCATAAATGTTTTAAAAGTAAGTTTACATGAAAACAATAATCTGAATGAGACAAACCCGTGTTTGACTGTGTTCAGGACTTCGAGGCTCTTCAGGGTCGAGCTGATGGTAAAACCGTGTTTTATGAGGCTTTGACTCGTTCATTGGGCGGCAAGACAGGAAATGAGCTCCTGAAGGAGGCGGCGTCCTGGTTCTACTCTCTGGATCACAGCCCCTCCCCCTCCGGTTACAACCTGTTCTCCAGAGCACTCAACAACGCCACCAGGTGAGACAGTGAGATAACGACGACGTCTAACGTTTGTCCTAATACAATTAAAACATTTAAATTCATATTTGTATTTTTCTCTCTCCGTCTGTCCTGCAGAGATCTGTTCATCATCTGTCCCGCTCTCCAGATGGCAAATCACTGGGCTAACAACCGAGCTAACGTCTTCCTGTATCATCAGCCTGCGTCCAGAGCTCAGGACAGGTGACGCTCGTCTCCTTTTAAAGGAACAGTTCCACATAAAAATCCTTTTCATCATTATTTTGTTTTGACTGATTTGTTCGTAGACGTCTCTGAGATCAAAAATAATATTTGAACTGAGTCGTTTTCCAGTTTGTTTTGGATCTGGAGCGTCGGCGTGTCGTGATCGTTTGGTTCTGTCTGCAGGGCCGATGTGTTTGTTCCTCTGGATGTTCAGCTTCTGTTCGGGACTCCTCATCATCCAATCAGCTCTCAGCGTTTCACTTCCTCTGATCGCCGCCTCTCTCTGGCCACGATGACCTACATGTCCAGCTTCATCCGGACGGGGTGAGTCGCTCTTTCAGAGACTGTGTCCTCAGAACCGCTCCGTGTGAACCACCAGGACACGAGCAATAACATATTCATTTTTCTTCACTTTTGTCAGGAACCCAAACCCATCCCGAGTGTGGGAGGAGTCAGTTCTTCCCCGCTGGCAGCCGGTCCAATCCTCTGATGCCCCACCCACATACCTGGAGATAAGCCCCGCCCTCCTCCAACATCAGGGTCTGCGTCAGAAATACTGCTCGTTCTGGAGCCACCTGGGGGCCAAATTGAGAAGTGCAACAGGTTAAAAACACAACAGTCACTCACTTCCTGCTGCTGCAGCCATGTTTCATCCGGTTTATTCTCCAGAGAGAGGTTTTTAGACCCCGCCTCTCTTTTTAGCTCTAATCTCCTGGTTGGAATAGTATAATAACAATAGTTTGCAGTGTTGGCTGCTGGGATTTATCACAACATCATCAGGTTGCTCAGAACGCTGCAGCCGACGGATCTGCATCAGGAGGAAAGAATCTTACTGGGCCCCCACGTACCCTCAGGTCTGACCAGCCTGTGGTGGACCTGCCTCATTAAAAGGAGTCTAGCGATTAAACTACTGTTGATGCTGACGCACACAACTAACGATGCGTCCTCACATCAGCTGGTGGTTAGTGCGGAGGAGCGAAAGATATTTATATCCGGGTTTAATAGTACTTTGATGTTTAACATAAAATACTCAGATACTTCTTGACTCTGACTTTGTTCCCCTCAAGGTGAGTCGGTGTCGGAACCCGTCCGACCTGCGCTGACCCTCGGGTCCCCGGTGTCTGCACCATCGAGCCCGTCGCAGACTGAGAAAGACGCCTACAGTTAAACCAATGATGTCACATGTTCAAGCCTCCAGCTTCACTTTCATTCAAATGAAGAAGGCAACAAAAAACGCCTGTTTCCATTTTTCTTTTCTGAACTAAATCATCATTAAAAATCATTTCAACCTCGAGGCTGTCCGTGTCTGTGATGTCCCTGTGGAGATGTCCTCATGTTGTAGCGTATACTCGTCTTCAGACGAGGTTACTGTGACCTCTGAAACCTAATCATGAATAAAAATACCTTTAAAAACTTCATGTGTAGACAGGGTGGAGACAGAGACAGGGTAAAGACAGAGACAGTAGAGACAGACAGGGTAGAG